AGATTTTTTTCAAAAACAAACCGAAAATAAATACCTAACCCCTAGTAAATACTTAAATTTTATCACGTGATGGGATGTTGGAGATCGTCAATTAAGTTGTTGTAGATTATAGATTTTCAGAACAACCAAATGTTTGAAGTGCGTTCGTGAGTCAAGTGAAACATATATTTAATCAAAAATCTCATTTGGTGTTAATAATTAAAATTGACAAACTTGTAATAAAAATAAAGTACAAAAATAGCAGAAAGGTATTATATATTATATTGTTGTTGTAGCATGCGGTGTTGATGCCATCGCGCACATTTACAAAATGTATACGTACCATTCTGTTTGTTAATTTGTTTCCTCCGATAATAACTTCTTGTATTCTTCCTTGGATTTTTTATAAATTACTAATTTAATTAATATTTAATAATTATTTTTATGAATATTTATATATCAATTTATTAACTAAAATTTTTTTTTTAAACTTTACCTTTCATTTTTGATTTATCATTATAAACATTTTCTATTTTTTCATTGTAATAAATAAATATATTTTCTAAACAGATATAAATCGAATCACTAATTAAAATTATTTGTCTTTCCAAACATTTTGTGAAACATTCGTCGTCCAATGGTTTATTTTTACAACCTTCGTAATCATATACACTGAGAATAAATCCTAGTAGTAGTTAATAAAATTATTAATTAATAATTGAGCAAAATAAAAAAATCAACCTTAATTCCATAAATTCATCATTTATATAAATCGGTAGTTTATCATTAATTAATGTTTGACTAAAATCATTGTCAATAATTCGATGAAATTTATTAAAGAAATCCTGTTGTTTTTGGTTATTATATGAATTTGTTGAGAATAAATTAAGATACTCAATAAAGTTATTTAGAGTAAATTCATCATCATTAATAATCATTACGCATTGTTTATCAATCGAAGCATTTAAAGTATTTTCTAATCTTTTTTCAAACCTCAACTTACTAGTATAACATCAATGTTTAATTAATATAGAAGCCATATATATATGTATATATGTATATTTAATAAATAAATTTTTACATACAATTTACTCAAGAAAATACCCTTCAATTTATCATCATAGCTATTATTATTAAGGCGCCTTAATATTTTAGCAAACATATATAACAAGTAATTCCCTGTAGCATAGAAATAATCCAATTTCCCTTTCTTATCAGCCGAATCATGTACAGATTTTAAAAATACCGCCAACTCAGTTACTGACATAAAATATTCAGAAAAAACCTTTTCACAATATTTTCTTTTTCTATCACCATCACGGTCGTTAAAAGAAGATTTAGAAAAAATTTTCAAATTTACAAATTTGCTCCAATTATTTTCCAAAAAATCATTTATTTCTAAAAGTCTATTATCAAGATCACCCATTAATAATTTACTATCATCATTATTAGATTCTATACCACTATTAACATTGTCATTAACTCTATTGGGCAATTGCTCAAATGGAAAATCTAAATTATAAAGATATTTATTGCCAATCAATTTACTATCTAGTTCTACTCTTCTTTTAATCATATAATAAATAACATTTGATTCTATTAAATTAGATTCAAATTGTGTAAGCTTTGAAATTAGATTTTCATCGGCATCAGCTACAGATGACGACGACGACGATATTTGAGATGTGTCATTTAATATTGTTGTGACTTCACGATTTACTAGATTTGGTGTTTCCATTTTTTAGTTTAGAATAGTATTTAAAATAATGCAATAATATTTATTATTATTATTATTATTATTATTATTATTATTATTATTATTATTATTATCATTATTATTATTATTATATCAATAATTATATTATGGTCGTATAAAAATTTTACTTACGTATTGACATTGTTTTTGATTTAATTAACTAGTTAATTTAAATAAATGAGAAAGTTTTTGGAAACAAAAAAAAAATAAAATTTAGAAATTAATTTTTAGAGTGCACAAAAACTCTTAAATAGTTAAATATGAATATGACATGCTATTACGTGGTTTCTTCCTACAATTTCTTCTAATATTGGTTAATACTAATTAGCCTATTAGATATTTAGTAATCGATCATTTGTAACCATCACCATACCAATCTATTTTCAATATGTGATTATAAATAAATATTAAATAATAAATATTAATAAATAAATAAAGCAAACATATGAAATACACACGGTTATGAATCACACGCCCTTTAATATCCAACTTAATTCTTTTATCGATTTTGTTTACTGAATTCCTTTATTGGTATTGCTTCTCCTGCTATCAAATATAAATACCAATAAATATATATTGATAGTTTGATGACTAGTGTATTAGTGATTCCATATAAATAGATAAATGGAACAAAGTGAAGTTAGTAAGGATTGAGAATATTAATGGTAACGGATAACAAATAAATAAAAAATAATAACAGTAGGGATTAGTCGATGATAAAAATTGATTGTTTGATATTTTCTAAAATATTCATTTCTGCTTTATTAATTAGCTAGAATTATGTAATTGAAATTATTGAAATCATTTGAATGTTAAAATATTTTTATTTTCATCAACATTTATTATCATTGCCGAAGTAATTGATTTTTCAATCTTGACATTCTGACAATTTTTGTTTTACCTATTTTATTTGCATGTCGTCTGTTTGTATATTCTATCTATCCGCATATAACTTCGCTGGCAGTCAGATTGTTAGGTCAAAGATGGTTGGAAATCAAAAGCTTGACTTTGTATTT